ATGCAAGTAATAGCAGCTTGCGTAAGATCAGTTTACGTCGTACACTATTCACAATGACTACCGCGAAGTAAAGAATTCCTACGGTCAGTGGATATGTGGCAACTGTCAGAAGCGATGGAAAGGTGCAATACCGTACATCGACGGATCACCTGGAAGCGGTAGTAACGACGACGAATTTGTGCCTGAAGCCTCTGTACATGTGCATGACAAAGAGGAAGAACAGATACATCGTGTGCAGGAACGAGAAAAGAGAGAAGCACTAACGAAATTTCTAGAACTCAGTGGAAGCAACAAGCAAGTGTGAGTCACACCAGATTATGAGAGTCTTGTACCACATGTGAAAAAGAATTATCTGTGGAACGCCCGATCTATTTTGAAAACGGTGACATCTTTCCTTGCACCAAATGATATAAAGAAAGTCACACATGATTTATTCAACTGTGGCAATGACCATAATAACTGCGTGTTAGATGCAAAATTTCTAAGCATTATGGAAGGCATTGCGGAAACATATAATAATGCCGATAACTGGACTACACGTAGAGAAATACTGTCGGTTGTAGCATCAAAAATTAATTTTAAACTGCTGCAGTCATTTATTCACCGGCTCACTCTCTATCGATTTTCGGCAGCAAGACGTCATGGCCTACGATACGGCGTTGGCTCACATATTGAACGTAATCATGCAGTGTTACAGAGATTCGAGGACTATCAGTAGAACATTTTATTGATTTCGTACTCTCTGCACACATCTGTACTGATTTGCCGTTTGGAGATCAGCGTTTGAAATTATCAAACGCGACTGAACTGTTCATTCCGAGTATTATCAGAAATCTGATTCTATCCAGAATAGTGGATCAATCTTACGCTTATACACTTGAGAATAACCCAGGCTTCCCGCCACTTGGACGTACAAGTCTATTGTCGTTACTTGAGGCTTGTAAAGCATCTACGAGATACAGTTTACAGGGTATCAATTATTTTGCTGCAAATGCCGGGCTAGCTTTCGACGGTTTATTTTCACTCGTCGATGAATTAGGACTTGACGTCGTCAGTAAACGATCGATTTTCGACAATCTAAAGCGTGCTCGAATGTATCTGAAGTCGGACTACAAGGTTCATATTAATAAATCCTCTACAGTCCCGGATCATTGTGCTAATTATGCACTTTCAGTCGCAAAAGACTCCGATTATGCTCACAAGTGTGATCATCATCACGATCATGTGTGCAACGAATGTGAGAGCCCTGCTAGCATATTGAAAAGAATACACGATGCCATAACTGACAGCAAGCAATTTGATCAAGAAATACTCGAACGGTCGCTAGCAAAATTCAATATGTGCACGGTCTCGATTGACGCGTGTAAATGCCATCTACTACGAGCCGTCAATCAAGACATTAGTAGACAGGAGACACTTGAAAATCTGGCGCCCGGCTCAGTCTACGTGTTCATGGACTGGGCGATGAAGTGGATTCCAGAGAGTTACCGGGAATCTCAGGAAAACTTCTTCGGCAAACGCGGTTTATCCTGGCATATCAGTGTAGTAGTAAACTGTAGCCTGCTCACTTTGCAGTACGACGGCAGTCTCGAAATTCTTTCTTTCTTACTAAGTGACGGAGGCGGAAAATTATCCACGACCGTGGTCTTTCGTTTGCAAAATCCGAAGGAGAACAGAATGGGAATGAGAATATTATCTTTTTCAGCAATGGCTTTTTATCAGGGTGTCGTCCATGAAAGTGTTTCTGCAAAGTGTCACTCGCTGCAAGGTTTAGGATTCGATAATGTTTGCTTAGTTTTTGTTGTTGTTTTTTTCTTCTATACTCTCTTCTCGCGGTTGTTCTCGTTTCCGCGTGGTGGCACTTTATTTATAAACCTTTGGTTTTTTTGTGCTTTCCTTTGTTACGAGATGTTTTCTTGGGCATAAAATAAACTTTCAAGTTCAAGATAAAGCATACAAGTAAAAAAGAGAGATAATATACTGATGGGAGAGAGAAAAATTTGTTTTTTCTCATTTTTTTCTTTTCTGTCCTAACAAGCGCTATTTAAGTAGGTAGAATACCATGCAAAATAACATTTCGTCGTTATTTCTCGAAGCTGTCACATTCTCGCAAATAACGAAAGATGAATAGTGCTAAAGTAATCATGATTCTAGCATTATTTTCAACAATAAAAGCTACAATTGGAAGACCAGTAAATTGTCTTTGCCGTAATAATGCTGTTGCTTGTTACACTCGTGGATGTAGTGTTGGTACTAATTATATTTGTGATAATACTAATTTTGGTGCTGATCCTTTTGTTTATTATGGTGATCTTTTATATTTTTTTGAGGTGTTTACTGGTTTTGTGGGTTGTAATTGCCCTGATTATCCTAATCGTGCTACTTATAATGGTATTTATGCTGTTAGTACTGGTAATCATGTTCGTTATAATTCGATACCAATAAATAATCTTTTTCATCATATTTAGCATTGATACCAGCCGTTGATCTTCTACTACGAGAATAATTATTGTCTATCATACTGTATATATATATATATATATATATAGAATATAAAAATAAGAAAAAACAGATGAATACGAGTATATTTGACAGCAAAACAAGCTCAAGTGAAAGGATGCATCAATAAGTGAGGAGAAGAGAGAGAAAAAAGTGGGAGGCTAACAAAAAGACAAAAAATTCTAAACTTTCGCAGAGGAACTCTTAATTGTTCCTCAATTCCAATGCACAGTTTAGCATTTTTGTTTTCTTTTCTGAAATAAGAGAAAATGAACATCTCAGTCGATACCGCACATGGTTTCCTCATCCATCTCTCATCTATAAATATAGCAAAAGTCTGCGTTGATGCCTCAGTCTTTCTTCGATTTCTATACTGGACATAGACCGCACCTAACGACTATTTCCAAAAAAATGAACAAAATAAATAATATTAAAGAATGAATATACGCGGTAAAGTGTTTATTCATATGCACAAATAAAACAATCTCACTCTCTTTTAATCGAAAAAAAGAAACGAAATATAAAATGAAAAAGAAGACTAATCATGTTCGGCATCGAAAATAACATCAGCAAAAACATCGGTATTTTTTTATTCTATGGCATTTTAATGACTTTGTATTTAATATCTGATACTGGTATTAATTTATAAGAAAATGTTTATCATCAAAAAATCTATAATAATACTTTAATTTTTCACTGACTGAAGGAGGTAATGTTATTACTGATAGACTATCAGATATATTTGTATGAATACAATCATATTTTTTTATTAATGCATAACATATGGAGTCGAAATAGATTTGGCTGGAGATTTTTTGCAGACGAGTTGAAGAAAAATCTTTTTTGCAAGTTACTTATTAGCATAAAGACATGACTAATTCGAAAATATCTCTGCTCAGGTCTTTTCCGTTACCGAGATAAGAGGCATTAGTTTCTAAAAACTAGCTCTTATTTATTGCTTCAAAGGCAAGAGTTTTTGGTGAAATTGATTATTTAGGTAGCTGTAGCTTTGTACTTAGATTCTCTGGCAGTTGTAATTTTATAAAAACGTCTTCCGTGGGTGAAGAGAGCGCGCTTTTTTTTGACTTCTTCCACTTTTAACCATGTCGGACTTTTGATTTTTTTCACGATTTCTACCAATGAAAAGTAAGCTCGCACCTAGCAACATGTCTCTATACTGTACTCGAGCTACTTATGGTTATTTTATTCATAAAGGTATGATTATAAGTAGCCGGCAGGAAAGGTAGTTATTTTACGGATAATGCCGCCTATCTCGGTAACGGAAAAGGCCTGAGCAGAGATATTTTCGAATTAGTCATGTCTTTATGCTAATAAGTAACTTGCAAAAAAGATTTTTCTTCAACTCGTCTGCAAAAAATCTCCAGCTAAATCTATTTCGACTCCATATGATAACTTCCAGACATTTGTAAATAATATAAAACTTCACCAAAGCATGTTGTTCGTTGTGCTGGACATGTTGGATTTGATGTTGATACATAATAACTAATAGCATCACCACTCCGTGCATAGACTTTTGAATGAAATTTACTAACACCACGACAATAACTAGCATAATAAATTATTGTTATTCTTGTTGGATCGACATTTTTTTTCATTAGACAAGCACTTAATTTGTCTTCATACATTTGAATAATTTTATTGTTTAAATATCTTTCGTCAAACTTCTGGGCAAAAAATAAGTCATTAATACTTAATTCATTAGTTCGACGTAATGTACGATTAACCAAATACCATGTAATAAATTGTTCTAAGACATATTTTTTACCATGACACCATTTTAATGAATTTCCCAAATAACCTTCACGAGGAAAATACGACGTTAATGATAATGAACTATGTTTCAACACTTGTTCTTTGAGATGTAAATGAAGATGGATTGTACATAACTGGGATTTTGCATCATAATGTTTCGCCAAATTTTGATAATAATAATTAAAAAAGTTTTCAATATCTGTTAATACATTTTTATTTTCATACAGGTGTAAAGCACGTATGTAAATGAAATAATGTAAAAAATGTACTGCCAGTTCATCAGGTAAAAATAATGCCACAAATATTGGTGATACATAAAGAAGAAAATCACTAAAAAAGAAAAACAAAAGAACAAGTAATCAAAACTCAGATTTTCCCAGGCTATCTGGCAAAGTATCAAACACAGAGGAATAAAAGCTGTTTTTCCAAAAATTCCCAAACAAAAAATCTTGCATACGGGTAAATTATATGTATATATGCTCTCCGAATGCTGTGCTTTCCAACTTCTTCTCTGCTAATGCATTTTTCCTGAGTTCTCTGGCAAAAAGATCGAAAAAGGCTTATTTTTGTTTCCCATTGACCATATTGAACAAGTGGCATAAATTGGTAAGCAAATGAATGTGGTAATACTACAGATAATAAATAATTTGAACCTTGATCAAATACACCCGGTAATAAAATACGTTCCCAATAAGTAATCAATGTTTTAAAGCGACCACTACATACAAGATGCATATAATCTTTTGCAACTTGATCTGGGAATAATAAATGTTTTGTTAATCGGGTTCATCCCTTGATTCCCATTGCTCTTGCAGCTGGTAAATTTTGTGTTGATAATGTTAAATAATCATGATCAGTTTTTCGTGGTGACGGTACAGGTGAATATGGATAAAATATTTGTCGGTCAATAGCAACACCTTGAACTTTACAATCACTGCATGCATAATAACCATTGAATTGAATAATATTAGAATTTTGTGCAAGTGCTGGTAAGTCGAATGTGGCATATTGTACACGAATTGAAAATTTTAATTGTTCATCATTATCTGTTGTAACTTTGATACCACTTTAGACTAATTCGTAAACTTGTTGAACAATTTTGTCCCATAACAAATCTCTATTTGGATTCCACCCAACCATGCGCCGAGGACTATGGTTGCGTTTATATAGTCACGAATTGGCGGAGGAAGTTCCATTATTGTACACTGAACGGGCCACAACGACTTGCCCCCCCTTTTTGTGACTGATGCTGCATCAGTATGTAAAGTCAGTGTTAATTGATGATCAAATTTTGATCGTAGTTGTTTATAAACTTCGCCGTTTAATACATCACATGGAAACAGAGTACTTGACTGAGTTGGATATTCACGAATTAAATTCAGATATGTTTTTGTTGTAGTTGTAATCTCTTTTTTAACATCGTTAATCACCAATTCACTAACATTTTTGAATGGACATCGTTGGTTGCTCATTGAACATTCTTTTTTACGAGGTGTAAATAATGGATAAAAACATTCCCGACAACAATAATTCACTTTTTTTGAACAATCAATTCCTGAAAACAAAGATATGACGATGAAACAGGCTGAATTTGTGCAGACAGAAGAAAACACTAATATTTTCCGCTTAAAAAAAATTCACACCATATGAAAAAAGAAGAGCGGAACCGGTCCCGATTCGGAACAGAAATAGGGATTCATTTTTTGCTAATTTGGTCGCACAACATTTTTTTAGCTAAACCTATGATGAAATGTGAAAAGCATACACTTACCAACAAGTAAAAAGTTATGTCGATTTGGTGGAAAAAATGTTAGGCCCCCCCTTAAGAAAATCCTGGCTACGCCACTGATTTCCACTTTGCCGAGTATCCCAGTTGCAAGCATCTATGGTCTTAGGGGACTAAACTACGGAGCTTTTTCGAAAACGAGCATTTTTTGAATTTTCCAGTCTCTCTCAGCATTTTGAGGATATCCCGGCGACGAAACGGTTTGGGGAGTCGGAATGGCGATATTCGTGATCTCCGTTGAATTCTCTGTCGAACGGTGTATAAATAAACGAAATCTATTTTTTACTGCAAGTATCCCTTATGGACATCGGAAAGTAAATCTCCTTTTTCATTTTTAAATAAATCAAACAGGTCCACACGATTCTTGATCAGTTATTAAGGACCCCCCGCCCTCAGAAAAAGTCTTTTTTGTCTTATATCCGATTTTGATCAAACTTTCAGCAAATATTTGCCATATCAAAGTGTGGTTATGAAACTTGTTTTAGCTCGCTATCTCCTACTGTTGCCGGGTTTTCCAGAGTCCAAGGTCAAAAACCACCCTCCAGTGTGGAAGCCTTTTTTATACTTCAAGCTAGAGATCTCGTGTTGGTTTTATTTTAAACCCGCGATTTTTTCATTAAAGGAAAAACATGTATTTACCTGCTATTAGGATTTCGAGAGGTTTTCTAGAAATCCCTCGTAAGAGAATACATAACTTCAAAGCTGTTTTCGTATTCCAAATATCCAATCAGCTCTTCTGATAATATCCTGAGATATTTCTTCAAAACGCAGTTTCATTAGGTTTACCCACCTTTTTCTGAAAAACAACATACAAAAGCGTGAATCAGCATGGTGTCTTCTAGCGGTTCGCAAAATTATGCCTGATAAGAAAATGATTTCCGACTACATCTCATCTATGGAAAGACATACATCTGACGGGAATTTCAATCAAAGCATACAAGCATTTGACTCGGCATGTCGTCTTCTACCGCCTCACGAAATTGTGCCTGATCGACATGTCTTCTAAAACTGTTCCGAATTCTTCACATTCAATTTTACTCTACTCTTTATCATAAATATTTCTTATACCTGCTACATTCATAGTACTACCGTCCGTTCGCGTGACACGACTCTTCCGCGAACAAGGCTGTTGCTCGTCTTTTATCATGTGCTTGCTGTGGAGTCTTATTACGCTGTTGTTGCTTAGTTATCAGTTGTTGGTGGTATACTTCGTCTATCGCCAATTGCACTTTTAATTAGTCGAAAATCCAACCCACTAGGATAAACATATAATTGGACACGACGATCTGTTCCATTCATATTTGATGTCGTTGCTCTAATGAGCAATGATTCTTTTGCCAGTAACTCTTTGTCTCTCTAATCGATTTCAGTTACTGATTACAATACATCTTGAAAGTTTCAGCTCTGTAATGAAATGGGATTCTCAGCAAATCGATTGTAACTTTTAAGCTACAAAGTTTTGAGAGTTAGGAGAGATCTCATTTTAAATTTATATATGAGCAGTTTTGGATGGATTTCAAAGAAAAGTTTGGATCTTG